GGTACTCTTTCAAAATTGCAAATTTCATGGCCTCTGGTTTAAAACACAAACCAAGTTAAATTTTTACAAAGTTTACAGGTAGTGTAGATTCAAATTTGGGTGGGTGTGGTAGGGTGGAGTCACAATGGGCGATCAAAGTTTTATATGGGAATTCCTAAGAAAAATGTTTTAAAATCTTCTTATCGAGAACAGCAAGGCCATGGGTGGTCATATTTGTATGGAAGCATTCTCAGGTAGTGTACATTCAAATTTGTTTAAATCATGACCCCCGGGGGTAGGGTGGGCCACAATGGACGATTAAAGTTTTATATAGAAATTCCTAAAAAAAAAAAATCTTTAAAAATCTTCTTCTCAAGAACAACTAAGCCATGAGTGGTCATATTTATGTGGAGGCATCCCAGGTAGTGTATATTCAAGTTTGTTCAAGCCATGACCCATGGGAATAGGGTGGGGTCACAATGGGTGATCAAAGTTTTACATAGGAATATATAGAAAAAAATCTTTTTAAAATCTTCTTCTCAAGAACAGCAAAGCCAAGATTGGTCATATTTATATGAAAGCATCATCAGGTAATGTAGAATCAGGTTTGTTCAAATCATGACCCCCGGGGGTAGGTTAAATTGGGACCACAGGCGATCAAAGTTTTACATAGGAATACATAGGAAAAATCTTGAAAAATCTTTTTTCTCAAAAACAGCAAAACCATGATTGGTCATAATAATATAGAAGCATCCTCTGGCAATGTAGATTCAGATTTGTTCAAATCATGACCCCCATCCCACCCCGACCCCCGGAGTATAGAGGGGCTATAACAGAGGTCATAGTAATATAAAGGATATATCAATAAAAAAAATTCTTCTCAAAAACCGGAAATTCAAATTATTTCAGAAGTGTCCTGAGGTAGTGTAGATTGAAGTTTGTTCAAACCCCATCCCTCACCGGACCACTTTTATATTTAAACTTTTCAATACTGAACTGATATCTGCTTTTTTCTAGCCAAAGTACTCAGGTGAGCGATGTGGCCCATGGGCCTCTTGTTATTTTGATCCAATCAAAAACAAGGCCACTTTTATTCAAAAAAGTAATGGCAACATCTAGTTAACAATTTTCAAGTTCAATTTTTCATTTTGCCACTTTTACTACAGATAAACAAAAAACAACAGCAATAATGCATTTTTTTTACTAATAATTCAGAAATAAAAGCAGATAAGTAAAGTCTGGCAAGGATAAAAATAATCACAATCTTTAGATTAAGCTACATGTATTATTAAGGAAATTCACACTCATGTCAGAGATTTAAGGTATAATGATTTTTAAAGCTTTTGAGTACCTGAAAATGATTTTTAAAAAATCAGAATCATATAGTATACACTGGCGGATTTAGAGTAGGTCCAGCCCCCCCCCCCCCCCCCCCCCCACACACACACACACACACACTTTGTGTCCAAAATATACAAAAGATGTAATAAATCAATTTTTTTTTGTATGGCCGTGGGCCCCTACCTCGACCCCAAACTGGTCGCCCTCCCCTCTTTTGAAGATTCCTGGATCCGCCATTGGTATAATATGATTAACTCGCAATTGTCTTTCATATTTCAACAAAATAAAAAATAAATTTGAACAAAAAATCGCAAATTCAGCAAATTCTTTACCTGTCTGATCCACAGCTTTTCAACTCAATATTTACTGACGATTATTTTAAAGTTAAAAGTAAATAAAGAAATATATGAATAAAATATGAATTTGAATTTTAAAATATGTACATTTCACATTGATATTAAAAGTGAATAAATGATCTAACTGTATTAAATAATATATTTGAACATTTTAGAAGCAGATGAGGCTACTTTGAAAAAAAAATCGATATTCTTCTGATCATTACAAAAATGCATAAATTGATTTACCCTCTTTCCTGCAAAAATTTCCATATTAGATTAACTGGTAAATCATGCTGAATTTATGCTTTCTCCTCATTATTTTTTTTCTGTTTTCTACAATGTACATGCATGTTTCAAAAGTATTTTAACATTATTTTACTCAATATCTTTTGTTGCAGTAAGTTTAACGTTGAACTTTTTTTTGCAGGCACAATGTATTTATCGGATGGGGAGTCCTGTGGCGGATTTAAAGGGGGAGGCGCACCCGGCGCCCCTCCAACCCCCCAAGACTGACAAAGTTGGTGTAAATCATAGTTTCGTCGAGAAAATGTAAAAATGTTACTCGGTAGACTTCATTTTTACCATACAAAACACGATGTTTAACTGTCGATTTAATGTTCATTGACAGACCAATAGTCTTCCTTTTTTTTTTAAGTAAATTAAAATCCTCCCCTTAACGAGGATGGATCCTGATATTTAAAGTCTTAAACTTTTTTGTCAAGTATATCTTTAGTTTCTACACACATAGCTTAATTAAAAATCAAAACATATCCTTCTTTTTGCGCTACAGTACATTTAACATGACCTTTTTGCACTGAAATTTGTGTCTTAATCAAAAATCACATCTTCGACGTTTTCCCTCCAATGTTTTTATCCAAATAAATCATGGGACAAAATAAACTGTTAGCCTATTTCAAAAAAGACACATTAAAATTGTGACTAAGAAAAAGTTTCAAATTGCTTCGCATAATCAATTATTTGACGTTTCTGCACTCAAAAAATGTGATTTTTCTGGCATCAAAAATTTAACAAGCAAGAAAATTATTTTAAAGTCTTAAACTTTTTCCGAATTTAGGCAGATTGATCAAAGTTATCTTATATATATTCAGTGAAGAAAACCAAAAGTGGGGGTCTATGATGTAAATTTTTAGATATTAATGAAAAGGTGTCAATTTAATGTTAAAATTGGCTAAAATTTTTCCCGGACTTTCAGAATATATTTACTAATATTTACTATATTTGTCACATTATAATCATTATATTATGAAAGAATTCATAAGAAACAATTAAATACATATTTCAGAACCAGCATAAAACATTTCACTGCAAAAACAGCTCTGTGTGCAACCAGCATGGAAAATAGGAATCTAAATTTAACAGTATTGTATATATTTCAAAAGGGAAAAAAAAACCTTCTGCCACAAAATATAGTTCCTGGCTTAATCCTATTTGAATGGAATTTAATCGCGTTTTTTTCATTGGATATAGTTTAATTTGCATTGTAGAATCCAGATTTAATGTTTGAACTTAGAAATGATGCAGAATTTTATAAATAAAGGTCCAGACCAAAATCTGCTCAAAAGCTCAGGATCGAACCTTCTTAATCATGTTAATTAAAAAAATATCAAAGACCACAAATTATTGGGTTCGGGATATGCACACTACTTTTTTATCATCGGGTTCGAGATTCAATGTACATTAGTTGGTGAAAAACAAATTGTTACGTTGACACATATCTTGAATATTTTTGTATTTTTTGGTATGTATTTACAGAAATACCGGTATATGTTGATGATCTGTGTAAAGAAATTGTACCATGCGATTTTACTTGTAAGAGGTCTTTGACTGTATCGATATTCGGTAGTCGGTAGACATGGTAGAACTTGAGAAGTAGAAAGGCCTTCAAAGGGTAGTGTTTTTTGATGGGTTTTTTTTCCTACATAATCCACTGTGGGCTGTATATAAACAGTTGCATGTTCCTGTTGCCGTAGACGATAAATAGGTCTATAATATGTATATTACACTATGTACATTTCATGCATATAGAATGATCTACACCTTTATACCATTTTGAGCTGTTTACGAAAAGTTATAAATGTTAATGACCACTCTGTCGTAATTCTTCCTAATTTTCAATATAAACTTTGAAAGAATGCTGATGGGAAAAAATAGATAGAAATTCAAAACTGATCTTCAGCTTTCAACATGTTTACAATTATTTTTATTCATTAAGTGTGCTAGTCTAGCATATGAATGTGGCAAGTGTTTACAAGACATTGTGGTAAATTTGTGCAGCAAAATGTTATTGAATTAATATGTTGATGGAGTACTGGCAGGGCCTGTGGAGATGCCTTCTGGTATTCAGTTTTAATTTAGATTGGGCTCTTCAATTGCACGTAATATTTCGTACGTCTAGACTCTGACGTCACATGTTGTTGTATGTAAGTTGCATTACCAACATAAAGTCTCAACAGTGCTTATTTTAATAAAGAACGTTTAATCTACTATTTATCTGCTATATATCCATTAAATCAAGGTGAATTTATTTTTTCTTGGAACTTCTGGGTACCACAAGATCGTAGTTTGCAGCGAGATACAATTCACAAAGCATTATGGGACCACAGGTGACTGCGGAAAAAAATTCATTTGGATCAATGTGCAAAGTCCGAATTTTCTCTTCGCCCAGGCGTTGCTTTAAGTGCTCGCAGTGGCAAGCGGCGCTTTGTGCCGCTCTCTGCACTCTCTTTTAAAAACATATAGTCTAGATTGATTAAAATGACTAAAGAACCTGGTTTCATGTTCCGTGTGTGGTCAATGTAGCAAAATAAACAGGGACAAATAATTCTAACAGGGTCTACACATTCACTATGAACAATCCAGAAAGTACAGAAGGTCAGCTTGGCATGTAAATTTGAAGTAAAAAAAATGCTGAGAAACAAATTGAATTTTTGTCTTTATATGAATTATTTTTGTAACTTAGAAGGCAGAAGGCATGTACAAGCTCCAAAATGTTTCATTATGATTAATTAGGTAGTTATTTTCAGTGTAACTCCTTTTTGTATCCTTCAAATTAAAATTTAAGGTTTAGAGCACAGATCTGCTCTGATCTTCAGCACTGCAACTATATGCATTGGGACATATTCTAGTTGTGGTACTTGGAGTAAGACACATAAGTTATGTACATGAATAACTTCTCACTGTGTGAACTTTTCATCAAATTATATATTTATACATAATTTAAAGAATTACTCCTTTTCTTTTTTTTTTTTTTTTAAAAAAAAAGCAAGTACTGGTAATGCAAAAGCATAAATAATTTTTTTTCTTTTTTTAGTTTTGCAGTTATCTTCCCAGATGTGATACTGAGATTACTATCTAACTCTGTCCAGTTCCTGAGTTTGATTGGATATTTACCATGGATCCCTGGGACCAGAACAGGAACATAAAGAAATGCTTCATTAAATCTAAAATTTGGCCTTCATCATGTTAATAACAGAAACAAATTACTAAATACCTGAGAGATTGTAATTTAGTCAAATTAGGCCAAATTAAACAAGACAAATGGCTACTACTTCTATAAGTGAAAAAATCAAGGATGCAGAACTGTTTCAGAAGCAGTTCTTTCTACTTTGAATAATGGTCAATCAAAGATCCCAAGGAAATCTGCAACAAAACATTAGAGACCTTAAGGATTCAGTCTACACTGCTTACAGTGCTTGAGGGAGCTTGAAAAGCTGTCTAACTGAAGAAGGTCAATCAGGAAATGTGAACATGAACAGCCCCGGGATTCAGCAGGCCTCTCAGACCACTTTGAACACAGAGAGCCTTGGAACTCAGGTATCCCAGCCTAGTGTGAACACAGGAAAAACACTAAATACCATGCCTGTTCACCAAAATACTACAGATGCTGACTCTAGCACAAATGTTATGAACCGTTCAATTCTCAGCAATCCTAGCATTCTGATTAATCTGAACAATGGTGTTCAAAGTGCTGCTACTCTTAATCAGCTTGTAAATAACAAAACATTACCTGTGGACACTTCAAAAACAGTGGGACCTGCCGATGTGGAGGTTACAGAGCAGAGCTTTTCAGTTATTATTCAATCAGTTCAGAGATTGGATCCACCACCACCAGTCCAAAATTTTAACCAAACACCAGAACTGGAAAATGTCAAAGTGAAAATAGAGGAAAGCTCAGTTGTTGATGAAATCCAGTCCTCCATCCCTATGAGTGAAGAAGGAAGGGTTGAAAATAGTCTTGTTGCAGTAAGTATAAGTACTTTAAATTGTATACATGGTCATTTTCACCCATCTTATTTTCACCTTATAACACTTGCAAACAATTGTGCCCTATTCCAAATTTGCCTGGACGTAGTTGCATTAAAGAGATAAATAAATGCTGTTTATTTTGAAATCCACCTATTTTAAAAATTAATCCACTTGCAACGAGGGTGAAAGGGGTGAAAAAAAGGGGGGCAAAAATTTCCCTGTTTACAATAATTGTATGAATGTGAAGTGAACAATTAGAGTGTAAAAGTAATAGCTATAGACAAACCTTGTTACATGTAATTTGAAGTCGGTGGGAAAGAGAATGTTCAAGATATTCATGATATTCAACATATTGAGTTACATGATGTACAATACAGCTATTTTAATAAGTATTTATTTGCTGCTAGCATTATAGTTTTTGGATAATTGCCTGCAAGCTTCTCTCCACAGCAGGTGACTTAAAAGATCCAAGGACTGCAATATATAGAATCTGAAAATCAATTAGAAATTAGAAATTTATTCTCTAACACTCAAAGCTAAATGAATAAGAAAATTATTATGGAAGCTACCTATAAAGGTAGTGTAGATTCATGTTTTTTATATCATGAACCTCAGGATTAGGGCAGAACCACAACAGTTTATCAAAGTTTTACACTGAAATTAGTTTAAATTTTAGTTTGTTCAAATCATGACCCCTACTGTTAGAGTGGGGCTACAAAAGAAGATCAACACTTTACATAGGAATATTTAGGAGAAAATATTTTTAAAATCTACATTTTATCAATATGGAAACAATCCTAGATAGTGTAGATTCAAGTTTATTTGAATCATGACCTCTAGCTGATGACCCCTTTTCTTGCTACCCTAGCAGCCAAATTGACTCAGGTGAACACTGTGGCCCCAATAGCCTCTTGTTTTTAGCTCAGGCCAAAAAAAATAATAGTCTTGTTTCCTGCTACCAGCCTGAAAAAAATAGGGTAGGTAGGTAGGAAAATTATTTTATTTTATATTTTTATTTTATTTTTTTCCGACAGCATTTTTTGGATATGAACTAATACAAGATAAAATTAAACATGTCACAGGTCAATATTGTCTTGCATCTAGGGATAGACACTACCAGACTTGCTTCGAATGCTGGTTCCAGATGAGTGACCATGATAAAGTTTTTTGGAGCAGGTCTATTCCCAAGTAAAAATGAGCTCTACCTGGACCAACTTGCATGGATGATGCATCTAGGGATGAACACTACCAGACTTGCTTTGGATGCTGGATCTGACCTACATTTTCCAAATGAGTGACCATGTCAATGTTTTTGGAGTAGCTCTATAATTATTATATGACCTGTTATGATTTAATTTGCATGGATGATGCATGGAAGGATGGACAATTCCAGACTTGCTTCAAATATAGGAAATGAAAGACATTTTCTTGATTCAGGGCTTAATAACCCTTGCATACAGGTCCTGTAAAAGGACCCTGTCCCAAATGAAAATTGACTTTTTTCTTCCAAAATTTAAGTAAAATTTCCCAAATGATTGCAGATTGCATTAATCAGTACTATTTATATTAAATAACACTTAAATTTTGAGATTTTAATTATTAATAAGATGTGAATAGGGAATAAGCCTTCAGAGTTACTCTTTAATCATGTTAATCAACATTTTAATTTGATATGAAACATCAGTATTTCCAAGGTTTTCCACTTTTTCCATTAAAAATTCCCAAAGGAAAGGGTACAGGACTCTGTACTAAAAAGGGTCAATTAAGCCCTGTGATTAGTGAACAGGTTTAAGTTTTTGGAACAGGTCAATTCCCAATGAACTATAAGACCTACTTAAACAGAACTTGCATGAATAATGTTGTCAGCATGCACACTAACTATAAAGCAAATATGATGTGAAATTTGCGTTACTTATACTGATCATAGTCTGATAACATTCGTTGAGGTGAGGTTCGTAATCTTTGATTACCTTTGTGTTTTTATGCCCCGCCATGAATATGGCCGGGGCATATAGTGTTTGTCATGTCCGTCTTCCGTCCTTCCGTCCTTCTGTCCTTCCGTCTGTCCTTCCGTCACACTTTGCGTTTAGCTCTGTTCAAAGCTCAGTTTCAAAGAAACTATCCAAGATATTTTTATCAAACTTCATATGCTGATAGATATTGATGAGGGCTATGCAACTGCATCAACATTTTTTGACCTTGACCTTTCCTTTGACCTTGACCTCACTTTTCTTAAATTAGTGTTTAGCTCAGTTTTAAAGATACCATTCAAGATAGTGTAATCAAACTTCATATGTTGATACATACTGATGTAAGCTATTCAATTGCATCAACATTTTTTTGACCTTGACCTTTATTTTGACCTTGACCTCACTTTTCTTAAATTAATGTTTAGCTCTGTTTTAATGAAACCATTCAAGATATTTTTAACAAACTTCATATGCTGATACATACTGATGAGAGCTATTCAACTGCATCAATATTTTTTACCTTGACCTTTCCTTTGACCTTGACCTCACTTTTCTTAAATAAGTTTTTAGCTCAGTTTTAAAGATACCATTCAAGATAGTGTTATCAAACTTCATATGCTGATACATACTGATGAGAGCTATTCAACTGCATCAACATTTTTTGACCTTGACCTTTCCTTTGACCTTGACCTCACTTTTCTTAAATTAGTGTCAAACTTCATATGCTGATACATACTGATGAGAGCTATTCAACTGCATCAATATTTTTTGACCTTGACCTTTCCTTTGACCTTGACCTCACTTTTCTTAAATAAGTGTTTAGCTCAGTTTTAAAGAAACCATTCATAATATTTTCATCAAACTTCATATGCTAATACATACTGATGTAACCTTTTCAACTGCATCAACATTTTTTGACCTTGACCTTTCCTTTGACCTTGACCTCACTTTTCTTAAATTAGTGTCAAACTTCATATGCTGATACATACTGATGAGAGCTATTCAACTTCATCAATATTTTTTGACCTTGACCTTTCCTTTGACCTTGACCTCACTTTTCTTAAATTAGTGTTTAGCTCAGTTTTAAAGAAACCATTCATAATATTTTCATCAAACTTCATATGCTAATACATACTGATGTAACCTTTTCAACTACATCAACATTTTTTGATCTTGACCTTTCCTTTGATCTTGACCTCACTTTTCTTAAATTAGTTTCTGAATCAAATGTCATATGCTGATACATACTGATGTAAGCTATTCAACTGCAGCAATATTTTTTGACCTTGACCTTTCCTTTGACCTTGACCTCACTTTTCTCAATTTGTGTTAAAATGTTGCATTACTAATATGATTGCGCCCATGACAAAAGGGCCTTATGGCAATTTTGCTAAAACAGAGAAATAACGTCATAAAGATATGACGTTGCAGACGGTGAGCGTCGACGCAGATTTTTTTATCCACGTGTTTTATGTTTTGACACGTCTAGCTCACTTTTGTGGTTGTTCTCAACATTAAAATAATTATTTATTTTCATTTATATCTTTAATTCACGTCTTGATCTTCTAGTCCACTGATAGTAATTAAAATATTTAAAATTTTATTCGAGACCCATTTCTTTACTCCATGTTATTGTAGCTTTATACGTCTCTGATCTGGGCTATGCATTTCTTGTATGTATAGAAGCTTCAGACAAGGTGATTTTCTGGATAATTGAATATAGATGAACGAATGCGATTTTGATATATAGACAAATTGAAGTTTTTTGTTAAAGACAGGTATATTATCAAAATATTGCAGAGGAAATCGTTTTCCTGTATAAGATCCGCCCCACCATTCTCAACACATCGATCATGTAAACATTGAAGCATTGGTACATCGTGTATAAATTTTTGCTGTAAAATACTTAAATTGCCAAAAATTTGAAACTGATCACACTTCTTCCAACAGAAAAGAATTTTAAGTATTCTTGTAAGTTTTCACAAATCTAGCAAAAGTACGAACGAATGACAGACGTGATATTAATTTTAAGAACTACATGTATAAATAAAAACAAGAGAGGTAACTCTGACAAGCGAGATACTAGAGAGGTACCAGAGAGGGACTTTCTTTTTTTTTTTCTTTTTTTTTTAACACCATTCAAAATCAACATACTCATACAAATTTGCTCCTGTAGTATAAAAAATATTTTTAAAAATCTTACTTATCATCAGTTAAAAAACCGTTTTAATTATAAGTATTATATTTATATTTTCTTTAAAAGTATTTTTGAAAGCTCATGGAACTAGCTGCTGTCAAAGTGAAAGAGAAAAAAAATATAGAATAAGAAATAGATGCTACCAGACTTTCATTTATTTTTTAAATCCGTTACATGTGCATCTATTTATTTTAACATGAAATTATTTTTTTAAAATAACTTGAATTTTTTTTCAGTAATAATGATCATAAATTTAAATAAAATAAAATGAAATTAAACAAAAAATTGTTTCATCTTATTTTTGTTGTTGCCGCTTCCGATGTAAGTACTTGAAAACAAACAAAAACTATCGAATGAAATAAAATTGTTCTAATTGTTCTAGCTTAAAAAAAGTTTACATGTATGTATACCTGATGTGTATGTGAGAGAGGGAGAGAGAAAGAGAGAGAGGGAGAGAGATGTTACATTAAATCCAGTTTATTAATACAATGCGAAACTTTAATGAAAAGGCGAATTTTCAAAAACACAACAATATCGTATTATGAAAAGAAATCTCTATCTCTTTTTTTTCTTCTTTTGCTGTCTATCTATTTTCAGTAACTCGAAAATATAACATTTTGGTACTCGTGTTGTGCATAAAAAGTTCAAAGGTTTTAGCTTTATCTGCAGTTTTTAGTCACTTAAAAGTCAAATACATGTATATGTAATCCTTGTCATTCATACAATCTCAGCATTGTATTACAGTTCTATTATCAATCTATAAAACTCGTTTTCTTATTGAAATAATAATCTCAGTTATCGGTTTAGTATGATATTGCTTAACTTGCCGTTGAATTATGTAAACGGGCTGATTTTGTTATTTGGATTTATTGAAATAAATCTTGTTAAGATCAAATTGTATGTAAACATGCATTGTACAAATTAAATTAAATGCTAAAAATATACTGCACAAAAGACTAAAAATATGTTTGAAAGATTTTATTTTTGTGGCAGTGCAGGAGACCGGGGAAGAGGGCCGGGGTCATTTTATATTACGGGGACCTAACTACTTTACAGTGTATCTGTAAAGCTTTACAAGGATAAGCATATCCAAGTCTCTGGCATGGGGCCAGAATGGAATTTTTATATTGTAAAACTTCATTTTTAATAACATTTGAAAACAATAACATTAGAATTTCATACGATAAAGAAGCCGCGAGAAATGGGGGGGGGGGGGGATTCTACACACACCATCACATAACAATATTTACATGTACCTAAATGTGTGCCACATCGTAAAAATTTGTCATTTAAAAACTCAGCCAGTCAAGGAATATTATGAACCAGTCGCATTTAACTGACTGGATATATAAAACTTTCAATTAATTTTACACTCCCCCCCCCCCCCCCACCTCAGCCGAAAAAATTCTATTAATTAATCTGCCTGTCATTGATTCATAACGACAACATATATATATAATTATTGATGATTTATTTCTTAGAAAAATCTATTTGATATTAATTTTAAAAAAAGACATATTGATTTCATTCAAAGTTCGGATAAAATTTGTTGAAATGACAATAAAATACCCGATATGTATTAATACCCAGTGTATACATGTTCTTCTAAAACCTTTTAATTTACAAAATCAAACAAAATCGTTATTCTAGGACGTAATTTTTCTCATGATTAACTAGATTTGATAGCAGTTACGTTTCCAGTTCCAGGCATGTGGAGCTCATGATCGCTGTTTGTTTTGAAAATGACCTTGCTCATATACATGTACGTAAGGAGAGAGTTCAAGGTGCAAAAATAAATTGAGGAATTATTTCAATATTATTTCAAACCTAACCAAATGATGTATTTGGAGGTTATGGGGTTGGTGGTGGGAAGGCATCCCCCCTGCACATCTAAAATGTAGGAAGATTTTTAAAATACGACAACCCTCGTATGCTATTAAACTCATGTTAACTACAAGTATTGCATGTTTCTGTCATTTAACTTTTAACCCCCCACCCCCACCCCCACACACAATCTAACCACTGGTCATCCTGGATCTGTTCCTTTCATTTTAAATGCATGTGAATTATAATTCATCCATTTGTTTATAATTTATCAACCTGCTTACTTAAAATTAATTATTCAAAAATTTTCCTTGATGTGACTGAAAAAATGTGTATCATTTCAATTTTAAAAAAGAAGTTTTGTTACCACATGCGGGCAGAAGTCCTTCTGATTTTTTGTTTGAAGATTTTTTTTTTATCGAATATTGCTTAACATGCAGTGTATCAACTTAATGTCCTTAAATTGTTGTACAGCGTATACGGTAACTCACTACATTTCACAAATTTTCTGTCTAATTATATTTAGAAAACGAAAACAAGAAAACCCAACAAATTTTCACTACCCAGCAGCATCTATTTTATTGTTGTTCCCGATAATTTTTTTGAAATATTTTTTAACTTCACATTTTGAAAGAGATATCGTTTATACTGGATCCTTCCCCCCCCCCCCCCCCCCCCCCCAAAAAAAAAAAATTGACATCTTGTCCTATCGAGAGCCATGCTTAAAATGAGAAGATTTTCGAATAAATTCTACAGGTTTCTCAAACGATTATTACATGAGATAAATACTTTGGTTTTGAGAGAATAAATTGATATTGAACAGAAGCCGCTTGCTTCTCGGGTTTTCCTGACATTCCAGCATAGTGAAATGTAAAACAAACAAACGAACAAACACTCAAGATTCTATACGCCACTGCATAATGGATAATAGTTGATACAACTATTTATTATCATATATTATACAATTATTAAAAGAGACAATGACCTTAAAATGTTTCTGGAAATGCTCAATAACATACATTTATTACCTAGTAACATTACAATGCAAAGTGAAAGTCATGTTCACTCTGAAAACTTTTGACGGTGCGAAAGTAACATGACATCATTGTTTACCTATTCAAGTATCATTGATATAAATGAAGAAAAAACCTACTTAGAGTTGACGTAGGGCCATAAAAATTCAGATTTGGCAACTTCTAACCTTGCTCTATTAATATCCATGAAAAACTTAAAATGTGTAAAAATTGCCATAAGGCCCTTTTCCCATGGGCGCAATCATATACCCTTGGCGGGGCATTCATGTCCTATGGACATATTTCTAGTTTAAAATTTATTTTAACCTCAATATCTAAAATACTTGGATAGCTCAAAGTTAAGTCACGTATCCATTGTATTCAAGTTGACATGGTTTGACTGTACAGCATTTTGTAGAGGTTTACATGGTCAATGTAAACCAGTAAATTTTCTTTTCCATAATTTACTGGGAATTTGAATTTTGCAAATGTAGCTTGTATGATTTGTAATTTTATGAATGGATTACAGTGCTTATAAATATTCTTAATACCATGTACGTTGTTTGTAATCCATAAATCAGTTTAATAAGACATTTGAAGGTATTGTCTTTTCTTTTTTTCTCTTTTAGAAAGGTCCGAATGAAGATTTAACAGACAATAGTAGCAAAGATAAAATGAATGAAACTGGCTTCAAGTTTTTCAAGTGTGGAATTTGTGATGAGGGTTTTAGTGATTCATTAGTTCTAGAGACGCATGTTCGACAGCACAAGATATTCCAAAGTGAAGTCATAAAATGTGGGTATTGTGAAGAGAGTTTCTCTTTTAAAACTGATGCATCACACCATCTGAGGTGTATCCATGGTATCATTTGTGAGAAACCAAAAGCTGGAATGGAAGAAGTTAATTTACCAACCTATGAGAGTGAGGGAAAATCTGTGAAAATTATTCGAGTCATTCGAACAAAAATACCAAAATGTGGGATTTGTGGAAGAATATTCCAAAATTTGGAGAGCTTTGCACAGCACAAAAAGAACAGCAGTTGCGCTTATGTGTGGTATTGTTGTGTTTCTTGTGGGCAACCAGTTGGGAAAGAAACTCGTGAAGAAGTACCACTCCCAAAAGAATTAATGTGCAAACTGTGTCATAAGTCAGGAAACCAGCCAAAAGAGAACACAGATACCATAATGCAGCAAAACAAGCAAGGAAGTGAAATGATTTTAGGTGTAGTGCAACCAAGTATTGTAGGTTCTGGTTGTAATAAGTGTAGAAAGAAAGAGCAAACCGAACAAGGAGATGTAATGATTTTAGGGGCTGTGCAACCAAGTATTGTAGGCTCTGGTTGTAATACATGTAAGTGTAGAAAGAAAGAGCAAAGCGAACAAGGAGGTGAAATGATTTTAGATGCTGTAAGTTATTTTGTGAGTTGTGATTCAAAGCATGCGGATCAAAATAAACAAGGAGATGAAATGATGATAGATGCAGTGCAGCAACCAAGTAATGTACCTTTGGGTGGTAAAACGTGTAAGAAGAAAGTGAAAGAGTTTTACAATTGTTTGGATTGTCGGAAATCTTTTACAAAAAAATGTTCATATGTGATGCACCTGAAAATGTCGCACAGTACCGCAAAACAGTATAAGTGTGATTTGTGTGAGCGGGCCTATATGTATCCCACTTCTCTGAGATTACACAAACTTTCACACTCAAGTATGGAAACATTTGCATGTGATAAGTGTCCGAAAACATTCAAATTAAAGGAGGTTCTTAAAAGACATCAGAGAGTACATGAGCCTGCAAGGTTTCCATGTGATGTATGTGGTAAGAAATTGAGGTGGAAATCTCGGTTCATAGAACATAAGAGACTACATAGTGGTGAAAAGCCATTTCTCTGTGAGATCTGTGGGAAAAGGTTTCATAGTTGGATGTCCAGATTTTCTCACATGGATACCCACAACTCCTCAAGCAAGAGACTGTGCGAGATTTGTGGGAAACTCTACATGTGTGCTTCTTCTTTGCGACTTCATCAGATAAGACACAAAATCAATAACTGTTCAAGCACGGAAGAAAAACTGCGCATTGTACCGTGGGTTTGCAATGTTTGTGGCAAAGGCTTTTGTAAAAGGTTGCCATATGAAAAGCACAAATTAAATGTACATGAGAGTAAAAACAAGAGTGGTCATTTAGAAGAGAAAAATCCTGATAGTCAAATCAGATGTGACATTTGTGGAAAATCTTTCTCAACTAGATGGACTCTTTTATCTCATATTGCTCTCCATAAAGGAATGATGTGGACTGCCTGTGAGAAATGCAATATGGTAATGCATAAACACTCTTTGAAAAGGCATATGTTAAGAATGCACAGAACAAATGTATAACTATTTATATGACTATTGACCAATTTGATGTTAACAAGTTACTAATATTACTTATTAAGTTAATGTATATGTTAGAAATAAATCATGGAAATCAAAATATTTAAGTGAAGTTAGTTTATCTTCATATATATGCTATAGTTATTCTGTTACTAAATTATATATTTTTAGAGAGCCAGTTTGTTTTTATGCTGTTTATAACAATAGTAAGATATAGTGTTTTGCAAAAGACCTACCTGTATATGTAGAGAAATTTGAAATACATTAAGATATTTCAATGCACCAAGGCCTCCCATTATGTTATTTATTTATTTATTGGGCATCAACATTTTTATATCTTTTGACCTTGTAGTTTGACATTCTTTTTGAAAAACTTTTAACCTTAGTCATATCATTTAAACGGTTGGGAACCACTTGTTGTTACGCAGCACTGTTAAGGCGTACTTCGAAGAAATCAACAGAATATATACGTGCATAAATACATACCTTTTTAGACTGAATTTATTTTTGTAAAGGTACTATATTATCTTATGACTTTAACATTCTTTGAAATAACATTGTATACCTCGCTCTGTACTGAATTTGGTTTGGTCACGTTATTTGATAGTCACGTGATAAATGCATGTAATGTGTACTGTATGTAGGTCACAAACAAATTTCAATATCGCAAGGGCATACCCTAGTTAAAATTAAAAATTGAAGTAATAGATTGTTTCAACATAACTTTTAGTTTATGGAAAGTGCTGCTGCCTTAAATAGAATTCGCATTTTATTAGCTTAAATTTCAAGTTATCTGGCTAATGTCGAAATATGTGTGACCTTTACCAAGTACTTTATGTATTTATTAAATTATGCTATCGATTTCAGGAAAGCAGCAGCACTTTTCAAGTTAAGGAATACGTCCGTTATGTGTATTCAAAAAATGGTCAAGATCTATTAAGTGTATGCCCTTGCGAAAAGGCGATTTAATGAGGCACCTCGGCGTGAAACAGGCACACCCTGTAGACAAAAACACGGTAGAATTAATTCAATACATTCTCCCGATAGTTTTTAAATAATGGTACTAAACAAACGTTTCAGATTTGTATTAATGGTCTACCTAAGATTTGTAAATAATATTCTGTTTAATAATAAAATGCATTTTTCACTGTGAAAAAATTACTTGATCCGCCTCTCACTGCACATAAAATGCGTCAAACTTTACCATGATGACGTCATGTCGACAAGTACATTGCGATCAATGACTTGTTTATATCTTGTTGTGTGGGATTTAACTAGCGACAAAAATGAATGCAGTGGTAAGTTTTGATGTAGTTCATTACTCTTATGCAGTTTAGATTCGCAAATTATTTCATTTTCTGTTATTGTGAGGAATTGCTATATTTGTGTGATGTCACAGTAAAGTTTTCCCGTATAAATTAGGCCCCGCCCCCTTTATGCAGCCTTAACAGAGCTGCGTAGAAGAATGTCCAAAGTAAGAACATCTATGTATAAAATTTTTCATAACATGGTACCCAAGTATCTGAAAGAATATTTCCAAACATTCAATAACACGAATCAAATTACGTAACAAGACAATCACAAAATTATTGCATCCCTAAGTGTAGATGAAATATTTATAAATCATCTTTTGCCCCAATGGCAAGAAGGGAATGGAACTCTCTATCTCTTGAAACAAGACAATCCACTACTATAGGTTCCTTCAAAAATATATAAACGCTCAGAAAACACTTATTCCATCTTTTTTTTTTTTTAGCTCACCTGAGCCGAAGGCTCAAGTGAGCTTTTCTGATCACATTTTGTTCGGCGTCCGTCTGTCCCTCCATCTGTCTGTCTGTAAACTTTTCACATTTTTGACTTCTTCTCAAGAACCACTGGGCCAAATTCAACCAAACTTGCCACAAAGCATCCTTGGGTGAAGGGGATTCAAGTTTGTTCAAATGAAGGGCCACACCCTCTTTCAAGGGGAGATAATTAGGAATTAGTGAAAAAATAATGGCATCATTTGAAAATCTTCTTCTCAAGAACCACTGGGCCAGGAAAAATGAAACTTATGTGGAAACATCCTCATGTAGTGTAGATTCAAGTTTGTTAAAATCATGACCCCTGGGGGTAGGGTTGGGCCACAATGGGGGATCAAAGTTTTACATAGAAATATAGGAAAATATCTTTAGAAATCTTCTTCTTAAGAACAGTAAAGCCAAGATTGGTCATATTTATATGGAAGCATCCCCAGGTAGTGTAGATTCAAGTTTGTTCAAATCATGACCCCCGGGGGTAGGGTGGGGCCACAATGGGGGATCCAAGTTTTACATAGAAATATACAGGAAAATATCTTTAAAAATCTTCTTCTTAAGAACAGCAAAGCCATGATTGGTCATATTTATATGGAAGCATCCTCAGGTAGTGTAGATACAAGTTTGTTCAAATCATGACCCCCGGGGGTAGGGTGGGGCCACAATGGGTGATCAAAGTTTACAGAGGAATATATAGGAAAAAATCTTTTTCTCAAGAGCAGAAAAGCCATGATTAGTCAAATTGATATGGAGGCATCCTTTGGTAGTGTTGAATGAAATTTGTTCAAATGATGGCCCCCAGGGGTAGGGTGGGGCCTCAATGGGGGATCAAATTTTTACAAATGTATATATGGGAAAAAATCTTCTGCTTAAGAACAGCAAAGCCATTGTTACATTGATATGAAAGCATCATCAGGTAGTTTAAAATTCAACACACACTCCCTCCCATGAACTTTTAAATACTGAACTGATTTTTGCTTTTTTTCCTAGCCAATGTGCTCAGGTGAGCGATGTGGCCCATGGGCCTCTTGTTCTTTTGGTGATCGTTACTTGAATGTAATTCATACTAGATTAAGACACAATTGTGTTCTGAATAAAGATTTATTTAGGTATAATATCATTGACAGTCTTCTATGCACTTGTGGAAAAGTAGAAGACGCATATCATTTCTTTCTTTCTTTTTTTTTGGTATGAAATACACTGCCCCCAAGAAACTATTTTTAGAATGATTAATTTACATATTGTAGACACTCATGTTGTGTTTTGGGGAGATGATTCGATCAATATTTCTGAAAATGAAAGTTTATTTTTAAATGTGCAATTGTTTATTAAGAGATCTGGTCGTTTTTGAATTTATGTATTTAGATTCAGTTGTACACATCAAATTAATTTTGTATATGCAAAACCTATGTAAGTTGATAAACATATTGACCTTTGGTTCCAGTGTAGTTTAATTTTTGAACATTATTTTATGTAATTAATTTTTATAAAGGAGAGGACATTCGAAGTTTTAAGAACTTGTGTCCTTTTGTTGTATCATCTAAACAATAAAATATGTTCAAACCAAACCAACGGTTGATGCAAAAACTTTCATATTTGATGTGTGTCTATTTCCCTCCTTAAGGTTTTGTGTTTTTTTTGATGATTGTACAGTAGAATATGAAACTGAATGCCAATATGTTTCTTGTGTGAGTAAAGGATTACGAAGACAATGACGTAAATTATTTGCCAAGACCTTCACTTGAGTACCAAAATTTTGACCTCATGACCTTGGAGTTTGACCTTTTGTAAAACTTTACCCTTGACTATAATTTCTGAACGACTAATACAACAGCTTTGATATTTCACATGTATGTTCCTTGTGAAAAAAATCTTTCTTTGGGCTCTAAAATTTTTGACCTCTTGACCCTGAAGTTTGTCCTGAATTTGAGAAACATTAACCTTGACAATGAACTATAATATGAAGGCATCATGGTTTCATAAAATATATCTTGTTTATATTATTATACCCTCTCCCATGAAAAAAAAGGGGACAAATTGGTTTATATAGGTCTGTCAGTATGTTCCTTGTTAAGTTGAGTGAAAGAACAAGTGCTGTCCAATCAGTATCTTGAAAAGTCTTTGTACTGAGTCAATGACCCTATTGGTTTGAGGTCAAGGGTCAAAAGTCAGACTGAACATAGTAAGACTACTTAATATCTTTTGGGTCCAGGGTTGTGCATACCACCCAGGGGCAACAGAATTCCCATGCCTATTTTACAACTGTTGTACTGTTCAATGGCCCTGAGTGCCGAGTATAGGTAAAAAATTTGCAGTTCTCCACCGGCAAGTGGTGGCGTCTCCATATGAGTAAAAAATTCTCCAGAGGAACGTTAAACAACAAACAAGCAATTGTTGTATTTTAAAATATCTCCTTAAACGGTTAAGCAGGTCAAACAGAAAATAGGAAGATAATGGCTCCACTGTGTCTTGAAAGTCTTTAATAAAGTAAATTGCAACCTATGATAGACATCAACCTTCATTTGAAAAGAAGGCGAGGACAATCCCCCACTCTAAGAAAAGATTTCTCAATTCTAAAAGTTCATGAAAATTTATCTTTTTTAAAAATTGTATTGTTAATATCATCTTACATTTGCTTCCTTTATTTTATTGAATAAATTATATATATATATATATATGATATTCCTGATGCGTGTAATTATTTTCAGAAATGTTCAATTTCATGTATAGAATGGGTTCAGTCTCCATTCTTTTGAAACATGAAATAGATCAGTTTAACATTTATTTTTCCGTCAAATAAATTAACGTAAATGAAGAATGGAGACTTGACCCATTCTTGTTCAAAAATCATTTTTATGGCTCTAATATACCCGTTTCCCACTAAATATGCTTATAACCGTCAAGTTTAGAATTAGATTATCAATTAAAAAGTCGTTCAATAAAATAAATAAATAAAACTTGGTGAAGAGGACATTACTGAAAATAAAATTTTAGTGAAATAAAACTTTTCCATAAATTTTAAAAATTGAGAAATATATTATCTCAGAGCAGGGGATTTTGCCCTTGCCTTGTACGCCCTCTTTCTTTAAGGAATGCATAATCAAACTTTTTCTTAATTTTAATATTAAACTAATATCGAATATATGTAGCTAATAGAAATCAATATCTTATAAAAACATATCTAATGTAAGAATTAGTATATGTTTATTTATTTATTTTGTTTTTATTTTCTTTCCGTTTCTTTTCTTTTCCACTTATCCACAAACAGACAGACGGACGGACAGGG